GACGTTGGCATGCATGCATGTAATTTGCTGCCAAAAGTCATCAAACTTCAAAAATAAGTCCGTTGACCCTCAGCGGAGGACGTTCAGGTTGGTTGTATCTTTGAGTTTGATGCTGCTAGGCAATCATTAGACAACTGAACTTCAACGAATATAACATTTATTTTCATGCACAAGGCTCATTACCAGTGGAAGAGAATGTGTCTCTTCTCGAGTTCCCTGCTTCGCAAAATCCCCCCTCCCCCCCCCCCCCGATAATTCTTAGTGGCGGATCCAGGATCTCAAAGGGGGGGGGGGGGGGGAGGAGGGGAGGGCATGGGTCATCTGCACACCCGGTGGCATGTGCTTTATACACAGTCTTATACCTTAATGTTATTTATTATTATTTTGCTTGTTCGCGTTGCCATCAACCTGCATAAAGCAGGTATATAGCCTTCGCTTAAGCTGCCATAAAAAAGAAAGCTCATCCTAAGCGAGAGGGCTAGAGGGAAATATAACGATAACGAGATACAGAATACAAAGAAATCCAATGAGTTCAACGTACAATTCAAAACAAGAAAGAAAGGAAAGAAAAACAGAGCCGAATCTACCGATTGATCCATCAATCGACAAAGGGGACTAATCCGTTAGTGTTGCAAAGTAGAAGCTGATTATAGTTGCAGATCTCCAGGCCAGGGCCAGCATATTGCCGATTCTGGATAGGTCTCCGTTTGGAGAGCGAGTGACGCCGCTCGGTCATGGCCGTCAGCTTCGGCTGGCCCATGGGTAATGTCTTCTTCGCCAGGAAACAGGCAAGCTTGTGGAAGTATTTTGAGTAGTGGAGCAAAAGGCGAGGGCTTGTTTCGCATTGGTACGTTCAACGTCCGTGGACTTACTTCAAATTTCAAAAAAAATCAACTTATTTCAGACCTCAATAAATACAGAGTTGGACTCTGCTGTCTTCAGGAGACTAAAATCTCCGAAGGCTACGATGGAAATATTGACAACTACCGTCTACTGTGTCTCTCGTCGTCGTGTCGACATTATGGACTCGGATTCGTGGTGGAAAAGCAGTTACTGCACCGAATATATAGATATTGGCAGGTGTCGGACCGTATCGCCGTGCTACAGTTATGGCTCTCCGGGAGAACGCTGTGCTCATTTGTAAATGTCTACGCCCCGACGTCAACACGCGTTGCAGCAGACCATTCATGCCTAGACGAGTTCTACAACAGCTTGCTGGAAACAATTCAAAAACTAAGGTCTTCATCGCTGCTGTTCCTGATGGGAGACTTCAACGCAAAACTTGGGAAACGACCACCCAGTGACTGCCACTCCGTATCCTATGCTGGTTCACACTCAAGGGGCCATCGCAACTACAGCGGCCAGACTTTGGCTGATTTCGCGTCCAGCAATTACCTATTTGCCTGTAACACGGCGTTTCAGCACCGTGCAGAACATATCACCACATGGACAGGCTGGCGCCACAACCCTAGTGGAGGTCCACCTTTACCCATTTACAACCAAATAGATTATATCCTTTGCCGTCACAGTGAAAGGTTTGTGGTGACGGATGCCAGATCATACGCCGGGACAAGCTTAGAAAGCGATCACCGTCTTGTGCTGGCAAACCTCAACCTGACTAAGTTGTACAAGAAGCTCAAGAGGCCGCCAGTAGCCATATCCAGCAACGCAAAATTCAATATATCGGAATTTAGTGACCCGACCAAGAAAGCAAAGTTAATGTTATACTGAGTCCAAGACTTCTGTTTCAAATAATACGTATCACATTACAATGGAACCTGGCTAAGACGACCGCTCATGGGACCTTCAAGACGTGGTCTCTGTTACCAGTTGGTCTCCTTATACTGTAAATATACACAATTTCCGCGCTGCAAAATTTCGGCACTTTACGATTTTTGACATTTCGGCGGCGATTTATTTTCGGCGTGGGGTAGAGGGCATGGTATAGTGCGACAGATGCTGTGAAAATTTTCATTGGCGTTATAATTTAGGCATTTTAGGTCGGTGCCGAATATAGCCGAAATTAAATAGCTGCCGAAAATTTGTATATTTACAGTACAGGGTCAATTGACTGGAAATGCGAGCATCACTTGATCCTGGTTTCAGTGGTCTTCTAGGACAGGTGGTCGCCTTATCCGAGTGGTCGCCTTGACATGCTTTACTGCACTGGTAACTAGCCTATAAACTGTCCATACATATCATAATGTGAGTGTATGTCGAACTTTACAAATGCTGCACCATGTGTAGTTGAGGTTCTTGCTTCCCATTATTAAGTAAACATTTCATGCGATGCAAGAATCCCGAGTAGAGACGAATGTACTTTACACTGCGCGGTGTGGGTGTGGGAAAGCTCTGGAATGCTGATCTGTCAGCTGTACTCTCATCGAGCATTCACACATGCCTACAAGGATCATCCTGTGGAATGGATCTTTCATCAACCACCGCACTATAACTGAATATTAGTACAGGGCCAAAGGCACAGCTGCATATCCCTTTATCTAAAATGTATCTTCGTCAGAAATTTCTTTGTCTATGTTATCTGCCTTTGTAATCCGCCTTTGTAATCTTTGCAATGGTTGGGGGATCTTCTCTATCCTCCCCCACCGTTTAGGAGCCGCATCTGACGCCTGATCATGGGGTTGTGGCGTCCCACGGAAGCAGAAAGGTGGATCTTGACCAGGGAGTTGTAATCTGCCCCCCCCCCGCCTGCCTATTTTCTGGCGTGCTTTTCGTTATCGCTCATTTCCCAATAATTATTACATACAGAAGAGAAAGTCTGAAAACTCCTATGAAAATGACATTGTTATTGGCGTGTGAGAAATATCCTTATCGCCTAAATCTCTTCCATTCAACATGCAAAGCAAAGGTCAGACAGCATACCTTCCATTGTAATGCCCACTGTCATGGAGTCACTGCCAGCTTTGTTGCTGGCTGTACATGTGTATAGACCAACATCCGCCTCCACTCCTTGCAGCACCAGCGACAGGTGCGGCCCGGTGCCTTGCGTCAGCTTGTGGTTACCCTTCCACCAGACCAAGTTCATGGGGGTGTCGCCGGTTGCATCGCACACCAGCGTGCTACTATTGCCATAGGTTATCCTTTGTGTGTAGGACCGCTTGGCGATACTGGCCGGCATTGCTGCGTAGTGATTTATAAACATGCAGAAAACATCAAAAAAATGTTCCACGGTTGTTCCCGGCACTCAGCATCAATGGTCATGAACTCAGGCAAACCTCTGCTTGGTAAGGCTTGGTTTGCATAACAAGCCTGAAGGTTCAGAGTACATCCTGATGATAATAATTTGCTGAAAATTCGAAACTGGTACACTTGAATGAGTTCTGAGTTTGCAGTGCTAAGGAACAGAGTGCGTGTCTCAACAGCTCCCATGGAGCCGGACGATTACCAATTCACCATACATTAGACCTGTGTGCAGCAAATACCCTCCTAGGCGTATGTTTGGTTACAAGGATTGACTTAGTATGAAACATAAGATCATCATCTCACCTCTTGGGGCACGAGATGACGTAATGGCACCAGGTGTGACCGCGTTTGGACGTTGTGTCTGCGAAGTTCCTGCCATTGCTTTCGTTGTACCTGTCAAAGGTCGAGATGTGGTCCGCTTTGTTCGAGGGGTTGCTGCGGGTTGGGCTGCGTGTTTGGTTGTGGGCTGGGTTTTGGGTTTGGTTGCTGGTTGGGCTACGGTTGATTGAGTGCCACCGGGCAGGGATGCGGATGCGGTTGTTGATTGGGTTGTGGGAAGGGATGTGGATGTTGGTGGTCTTGTAGGCTGAGTTGTGGGTTGCGTTGTGGGTTGCGCTGCAGGTGGGCTTGTTGGCTGAGTCGTTATCGCCAGTGCATCTGGTCAAACAAAGACAGTCATAGCCATACAACAGCATAATAGGTTATTCACACGACACGCAAACTCGCGAGTGCGCTACTCTTTTTACTCGTGTGACCAAAACGCGTGCAACATATTGAAAACTTTGCTCGGGGGTCCTAGGCCCGCTTTTGTGCTTTGCGCATGTGTAAGACCAGTGAAAATACTTGAGCATGGTACTCCAGTTACATGGGTATGCTCGAGTGCACAGACGCATGCGAGATTTCCACGGGTCTGTTGTCTGTGTGACTGCGATGGGCAGCTTGTCCACTTTTACACAAACGTGTCAGTTTCGTTCATCTTCACGTCGCGTGAATACCCTATAATACTTGAGCAGGTTATTAGTGGAAACCTGCCAGTCATTATTCTTTTTCACATTTCAAATATGGGGATTGCTGTAGCTTGTAATACCGTAAAGTACCGCCAGTGCTCCTCACTCCCCGTCCTTTCGTGGCCGCTCTGGGGAGGCAGGGTGGCCGCGAGTGTGTGAGGTGGTCTGTACTGGGGTCATGCACACACCTACGAAGCGACTGTTGCAGTAAAGCAACCGAGGTTTGGTGAAGGTAAATTCCATGTTGTTCATGCTGGCTGCAGCGCTCTGCACTGCACTTCACATGACGCACCGTACAAGTAAAATATGACGCAACCCCAAAGTTGCAAAAACAGAGTGAACCCCGTACGACTTCATTTGCAGCAGACTGTGTGACGTTCACTTCTACTTCAGTATGACCGGAAACGAGAGTCCTGTTTTTTCCATAATTCAGGGCGAGGTACTAGGTGCTCTCGCGGTACTTTACAGCAGTTCAAATCTTGACAATCAGTGGGAAAGAGATACATAAAATGTCACGCGTTCGTTCGTGATGATACCTATGGTTGTGTCGGTGATGATCGACCTTGGCATAATACGATAAGGTTTCAGTGCATTCTCCTTTCTAGGGGCGGACAGGCAGAACGCACTGCCAATGGCTTGCCGCATGTGAATTTCTTTCATCAATCAAACAACTCCTAGGAGAACTGGTAAAATGGCATTTACACCAGAGGGGGGGGGGGGGGGTGGACATCAGGGGGAATACCCTAATAAAACAAGCATAGCCAACCAGCAAACACAGGTCCTGATCCTCACCACTTGATGTTCATCCGTAGAGGGCTCAATTTGCCAAAAGCAAAGAGCGGAATACACGGACAGAAGAACGAGCAGTTGCGTTTTTCGTAACTCTCAGCTTCATGAACTGAATCAATCATCAGACGAAAGTAGACAGGTCCTGATCTTCAAAATATTGATTCAGCCAATGAGGTGACCAAAAAGCTATTAATTTCTGAAAAGGTCCTCACCTTCAAAGCAGATACGAAGAACATTGGTAAGTCTAGCAGCTGGTGGCGGAGTAATGATTCCGAAGCTTTCCCCGTCGAACTGTAGCAATTCACCATTTTGGGTCCAGAAGATAACCACTGGTCTACGCCACAACCAAAGAGCACTTTGGATCAGGTCCTTGAAGCAGGGAATTTGAACTCGTGATAAGGCTGGAAGCTGACCATTACAAAACTTGCGCGAAGCGGAATGGTTGTACGAGCCAAGCTGCGACTTGAACCACACCTTGTCGGAACCGCACGTCTTGTGCAAGGGCACTGTTTGACACAAACACGAAAGCAACACGAAGCCAGGAAATCAGACTCACATCGCTCATTGCATCATTTCCAGCACTTGTCTTTCACTGACCATGGTAGTATGTACTGTACAGTGAGGTGTAATTATTGTACAAAGGATTTCATGGCGCTGTCTTGTCCACACACACACACAAAGCAACGTAGCAAGGTTTGTAGCCAGAATGTTTTCTTGTAACAATTCTCCTGTGGAGCAACGCCACTGATCATTAACAGGACAATGCATGTCGCATATGATTATAATTATAACAATCGTGTTGTGAAGTGGCTGCAGTGGAGCTTGGGCACCTCAGCCTGAAAGGACACAGTAAATAAAACCAGCACTAATGCAGAGAATAAGAAGCAGGGTATCATTCTGCAGCTGGTGTTACATGTAGTTTAGTAGGGATACGGCCAGGTTTCGGTATCCTATTTTCGGTTTTAGAAATATTGGAGCATTCACAAACACCAATTTTGACCCATCCCCAATTATCCTATGAGGCTATATTATCTGTGTTTCCCTGGTTGTCTAACCTATAGTACCGCAGAAATATGGTCAACACGTTTACATTCATCAGATTAAATCCTGCCCCCGTTGTGTGGTTCAGGTGTACAGACAGACAGACAGACTAGCCCTTGGCGGATTATGCCGCTATAATATTATTTTGGCATAATCTCGGGATTTATTATTACAGGGGGTTTCGTCAAAAAATTATGCTCCGGCATATTACACGGATTCCAATGTGTAAGGTCGGCATAATCTTTTGGTTAAGACAAAAATTATGCTTAGGGCATGGCCGTGTGTGTATGCGTGGTTTCTCAATCCTCTATGCACAGCGTGAATACATAGTGGAACGGAGCATAATTCAGCATATTTGTTGGCATAATTGTGGCATAATCAAAAGCATAATTTGACGATTGGCCGAGCATAGTCCGCCAATGGCTAAGACAGACAGACAGACAGATTGACCGAAAAACAGACTGTAGTGCCGATAGACTGACAGACAGATGAGCAGACGAACACACGACGAGACGTACAGAACACAGGATGTAGTCAAACACAGGATGTAGTCGAACACAGGATGTAGTCGAACACAGGATGTAGTCGAACACAGGATGTAGTCGAACACAGTCGTGATACACTAGCCGTATGCTCATCTCTGACTGATGGACTCACTAGTGTTTCTGCCTGGTGGTTGGCTGATCTAGGCCTACTTTTAAACACCACGAAGACACAAATTATGTCCATAAAGCCCCGTGGTCTGCAAGACATCCGCCATCCAGTACGGTGTGTTTAGGACGTTCGACAAGCTTTACATTGTGTGAAGTACCTTGGAGTTCACGTGGATGACCACATGGCTTGGGATATACATGTCAATCACCAGGTGCGGAAAGCCCGACAAGCAATCGGTAAGCTATGGCGGCATGGACATGGCCTGACAGTGAATGCCCGCCGCACTTGGTACATTGGCATGATCCAGTCCACAGTCCATCCAGCTCTTTCTCAGCATGCACTCGGTCGTCTGGAGCGTATGACCAAGGTAGGGGTACCGGGTCTGGTCTATTTTGTTGGCACCAACGGCTACCTCTACCGCTTCTTTGCTTGCACAGACACTCGTCCTTCCTCTCGTCCACATACTTCAAATAATTATAACATTAGACTAAAACTATTAGTAATCTTCCAAAGCCGTATCCAGTCTGCTACAAGTCCCCTTTTCGACAATTTCTTTAGTCTAATTAAATGTCGCAATTGCAGTTGCATGCAATTGTCAGGATAATTTTGGGTTCCAAAGGGTTAATGCAGCATGCCCGACTAACCACCGCATCACTCGTGGTCACTCCTTCATTCTCCTGCAAATACCCTTCCTCAGAGGCCCTTATGGCCGATCGTCAATCCAGTTTGTGGGAAGGGTATTGTGAAACAGTCTCTCGGCTGAACTTCGATGCATTGGGAGAGAAGAAGTGGTTGATGCATTGCGCTCGCAAGACCTCCTTATTCTCCCAGTTGCCTAAACCGCTTTTTGTACGTGCAAAAGATCTGGATCTTACTCCTGCTTCCTTTTTTCTTTTTTTTCTTTTTTTTACTAGAGCCATGTAAATCCGTCATGTGTGAACCATGAATAAGGGGAGTGGTGGCGTGGTCTGGGATGCTCTGCCGACCTTGGGTCTCGGCTTCATCACAACCAGGCGCGCCAATAGCAGAGAGAGAGAGAGAGTCTTAATCTATACTACATTATCCTCTGCATTCTATCTCCCTTCCATGCCTGTTTTTCTCCCCTACCCACACTCTTTCTGCCCTCGCCTCTTCTAAGTCGTCTCCATGTGAGAAGGCACCATTTCCTGTTTGGTTGAACGACTATACTTAATTTAATTTATTATTTAATTTTTAATTTTTAAAATTTAAAATTTATTATTAGTATAAAATAGAAGCTCAACAACAACAATAAAGCACAGATGTGGACGAATCACAGAACAGGTAGAATACTTCACCGTTACTCGACAACCATACACACAGACAGACATACAGAAAGCCAGACATACAGATAGACAGACTTACTGCCTGAAAGACAGACAGACAGGCGCACACACATACATACACACACTGGCAGTCAGGCGGGCAACCAGCCAGACATACATACATGCAGACATACAGACAGACATATTATTATAGAAAGAACGTAAAATGGACAGACAGACAAGGGGAGACAAACAGACAGAAAGACAGACAGATTGCAAGACGTCAGACAGACAGACAGACATACATACAAACAGACAGACACACATACATACATACATACATACAAACAGGTCATTTTTGGAAATGCGTGATATCAAGGTAATTGTTCTTACCTATACACAATGAATGAGCTGTCCCCCATCGACTCGGAGGAAGCAAACTGTCAACCATTTGAAAGCCAATAGATTGAATTCCGGATTGGATCTTTACCCACACCCTCGCAGATGAACTGAGCTCTGAAAACCTGACATATTCCCTTAAGTCATGTGTGACTGTAGTAGACTCTGTCAGAGGATTGCTTAACATGTTACTGTCCGCGCCACGGCACTGCGCCATGGCTTCGTTGGCGGACGTAGGTGATTCACCAAGTCCCATGGTGCTATTGTAGTCCGTGTCATCTGTTTGACAATGTTAAATAGGAAAACATTTGCACAGTCGCAGACACACACACACACAGACACATACCAACACACATGTCCACAGACACACGGACACACGCACCAACACACAGACACACACATACACAGACACACAGACACACCCACCCACATCCACAGACAGACCGATAGAGAAACACACATACACGCACACAACCGCACAAACACCAGAGTGGGTATATGCGAGGGAGAAGCGTGAGGAAGGAACACAGGAAAGTGAGTGCTGGACGTGAGTGTGTACATCTAGTCATCTGGGAAGAGTGTTGAAACAGACGTTCGTTATTGTATACTTTATTTATAGTGGAAATTAAAACAGGCAAAATGCCTACTAACATTGGACCCACTTTGAATAAAATATTTTATAAAGGATATTGTGGAAAAGTAGAGATAGGACGTTAGTGTGAGATCAGGTAAACAGAACGTACCAGCAAGGGTTCGCTAAAAATGTAGCTTCGCATTTTGTACATGCGGATTTATTGTAGTCGAGATCGACGGACAATGTTCAAATTTCAAAGTATCATTTTATTCAGGGTTTGACGGAGTTGAAACGGAAGAGCCTCAATTGTCCACGCATTTCCCAAGTGTTCTATGCAGTACAGTCATGTAGTCAGGGATTACCGGGTGTTAGCGGCTGTCGTGAATTCCCTTCAGGAACTGGGACGATAACTTACTCTGTATTGTCATAGGCAGTTCATTGTCACTAGCGTGTAACTTGCGCGTGAATGACATATATGGTTCTATTTCTATTTCCCCTCTCTCTCTCTCTCTCTCTCTCTCTCTCTCTCTCTCTCTCCCTCTCTCTCTCTCTCTCTCTCTCTCTCTCTCTCTCTCTCTCTCTCTCTCTCTCTCTCTCTCTCTCTCTCTCCCTCTCTCTCTCTCTCTCTCTCTCTCTCTCTCTCTCTCTCTCTCTCTCTCTCTCTCTCTCTCTCTCTCTCTCTATCTCTCTCTCTCTCTCTCTCTCTCTCTCTCTCTCTCTCTCTCTCTTTCTCTCTCTGCTATTGGCGCGCCTGGTTGTGATGAAGCCGAGACCCAAGGTCGGCAGAGCATCCCAGACCACGCCACCACTCCCCTTATTCATGGCTCACACATGACGGGTTTACGTGGCTCTAGTAAAAAATTAAAAAAATTGTGTGAATGCGCCAACCGTGAGGGCACAATTGCACACACATCAATTGTATGACTGCAGAAATGAGCCGTGGTTTACAAGAGTTTGTTTAGACGCCACATGCCTTTATCCAACTTGCGATACTAAGTTTGAAACAATTAAGAGTCAATCTTAAACCAGTGCGCATATACATGTATAGCAGTATGTTGGGAAAGGGTAAAGGGTTAATGTCAAAGAATAGATCGTGCATGCACCAGGAATATGTGTTCAGAATGGAGCTCATACTACAAGCCATTGTAAGTAATTTGTAACCCCACCCCTCCGAGATTCGTAGGCTTCCTTACTTTAAAAAAAGTAATGTTTATATTTATGAATAGGCGACGAGGAGACAATACCTTTATTAAGGCGATTAATAGTACCGGTATAAGTGAAGCGGACATTACGAAATGATGAATGAGAATACATGTATCAAAATTGATGTTCCTAATCGATTTTCTTGAGGCTATCATCAGGGAAAAATCGCACCTCACCTTATACCTCACCTTGTATGCACCTTGTATACTTCCCACTATCCCATAGACCTATAAGTAGTTTGTTTCTCCGTATAGCCTCTATTGTGAGACGATTTTTCCCTGATGATAGTCTCAAGAAAATCGATTTGGAACAATTTTGATACATGTATTCTCATTCATCATTTCGTAATGTCCGCTTCACATATACTATTAATCGTTTATTATTATTATTATTATTATAGGCTTTTCCGCGTTGGCATCGCCAAGCAAGCTTGGCTAGCCTTCGCATAAGCTGCTCCACAATGATGAGACGAAACAATGAATGTATGTATACACGATCTAGGACAGAACCAAGGTTGAGGATATTTTTGAAGAAAGCTGCAAGTTGTGTTGAGGAACACAAAGTTACAAACTCTACGAAAGTAAACTGCAAGAAATGTTTTGGGGTTGATCTCATGATTATTGTAGTCACAGGTTGTGTTAGTAGCATTAAAGGTTGTGTTTTCACAGGTATATTGTTTACATTCCTATTCTTTTACAGGATAATATTTTCACAAAATATGTTGGTCAATGATTAATCGTTTATATTTATATTAATTTTATTACAACATCTCAAGAATCGGTGGAAACACCGGCCAATGAGTGGGTGATTGCCAACCCCGGCGATAAATAATAAAAGAAGAACAAAAGTAAATTATCGTTTCCAAAAATAAGGGGAGGGAAAAAGAAAGAGTAGCAAAATGGACAGCAACAACAACTTCGTTTGCTAGGTTGATTTTGTATGATTGTAGACTGATAATAAATAATTTATTATCTTCCCTATTGACCATAGGCCATCGTGGAAATATAGAATAAAACGCCTACGTCCTTAGTCAGAATTCTTACATGAGTTCCGGCATTCACTTGGACGTCCCTGCCTTCCGGGAATAGCAGGGGTACCAGGCAGCGTGTAGGAAGGGAGCGAACACTCGCATCGATAGCTATGCTCAGATGGCACACACTGGGTGTTGAGGCCACAGAGAAACGGATCATCAGTGCATCGGAGGCCTGCCAGAAAGCGAAAACAAAACGAGTGAGAAATGCACAATGAGAACAGGAAGTGAGAGATCGCAGTCTCCAATGCTCTTTCTGTATTTGGGCGGCACTGATCTCTGCACTAAAGACACACATGTTTTTCTGTCTCAGATTCCAGACCATGAATGGAAAGTTAGTGCCAGGGCCAGGTGATAATGTAGTATAAACGTCAAATATGTCCATCTTGGACGTGGAACGTAGTCTTTGTGTAGTGTAAACGGCAATATGTCCATCTTGGACGTGGAACGTAGTCTTTGTGTAGTATAAACGTCAATATGTCCATCTTGGACGTGGAACGTAGTCTTTGTGTAGTATACGTCAATATGTCCATCTTGGACGTGGAACGTAGTCTTTGTGTAGTGTAAACGGCAATATGTCCATCTTGGACGTGGAACGTAGTCTTTGTGTAGTATAAACGTCGATATGTCCATCTTGGACGTGGAACGTAGTCTTTGTGTAGTATACGTCAATATGTCCATCTTGGACGTGGAACGTAGTCTTTGTGTAGTGTAAACGTCGATATGTCCATCTTGAACGTGGAACGTAGTCTTTGTGTAGTATACGTGGTGATGTGCACAAAGCTCATGTGTTTATATCCGGTTATAAGCGCACATTCATCTATACGCGTATGGGCTTATAAGCGAACCCAACCCCGCGCGGAAAAAAAAATTTCACGGTTCGCGTGAGACTCGGCCAAAGGCCCAGTTTTCCGCATCCGCAGGAACGCCACCACCCTCTTGGATCAAGGCGCAGATGCAGCTCCTAAACGGTGGGAGGTGAGTAGATCAGACCCACCACAAAGTGGTCAAAGACCGAAATCCCATTCACTGCATCCATGTTTCCCTCGTGCCAGGCCACGAGTTCCCAATTAACTGTGGGTCGCAGCACGGCTGGAAAAAATCCTTCCGTTTCCAAGCAGGACTTGAACCTGGTACCCTCTGTTTCTCAATCATGGTCTTAGACCATCCCACTATGCCTGCCTGCTCGCGCGGAAGCTACCATAATATACGATATTTACAGTAATTAATGTGCAATTTCCGATTTCCACACTGGTAATACAACTACTTTGAAGTAAAAGCACGTGCGCCCATACACATACATGTACTTAAGTGCATGTACACAAGAGAGAGTTTGGAAGCTTTGCTACAACTCTGAGTTTCACGTATTACTACGATCATCAGGCAACTGATGGATCCAAAACGGGCAGCCAGAACATAAGGGGGAGCAAGGTGGGAAATTCTGAGGGTGTCATAGGCGTTAGTGCATGTATAATTCATTATGAGACCAATCGACCTTCAACAAATGTCATAATTATGGCAAAAGCTCGCATAATACCGAATTAATATTTTTAAAGCGCATGGGCCTAAACTGAGGGTCATAACAATAATATTATCCTGGTAACACAGACATGGTAACTGAAGACATAATGTCAGTAACGTACGCGTGACGGTGAGCTGGATTGTCCTAGTGTCGTTCCTGATTGCATTGCTCACGGTACACGTGTAGTTACCAGACTCTGCCAGCGACGATGCTCCTATGCTCAGTGAGTTGGGTTGCGGCGAAACAAATGCTGCCACCTGCGTGCCCTTGAAGAACCAGGTTGTTGTCATTGGCTCATCTCCCCTGTACCGGCAGTCCAAGCTGACAGCACTGCCCTCTTTTACCACTTGGGGCGGTGTGGTATAGACGACCATTGCGGGAACTGTGAGAACAAAGCAAAGAATGAAGAACACGGGAACGTACAGACGCAGAACGGTAGCATGGTGACGTCATACAATGTACATGTGCATGTACATGTAGCTGCGCGCCTGCAGTCACGTGACCCATCGACCACCACTCGAGCAAGTACATGTAACTGGTACAGTACCGATTGCTACTGTTTGCACTAGCATGCATCTTCATTGCAGGAGACGAAGTGTGGACTACCGTATGGTCAGATGACCTCAGGATTGTTAAAAGTTATGCGTGTAACACAGACAAAAAGAAAGATAGGGGGGAGGGAGACGGAGAGAGAGAGAAAGAGAAAGTAGGAGAATCAACTGCGAAGCTCACACAATTGTTCTTAACGCCATTGTTGTTGTGCTTGAAATAATGTATGCTACAACTGAGCCAGCCTTATTTCCATTTTGTATCTTGATGAAGGCACAAGGGCGAATACTCAGTGGTCATTACAATTAAAATGTCAGGGCGGCAAGACCACGGTCGTATGGATGAAGGTACTAATCTGAAGAGATACTGCATGCACCTCCTTCTCTTACAATGAATCACACTAAGCGTTGCGTTGTACACGACGAAGACATGCATGCACCTCCTTCTCTTACCATGAATCACACTAAGCGTTGCGTTGTACACGACGAAGACATGCATGCACCTCCTTCTCTTACCATGAATTACACTAAGCGTTGCGTTGTACAAGACGAAGACGTGCATGCAGACAGGTGAAACACAGTGTGGCAGTATCACGCTGCGCGTTTGAGCAACTTTCAGACAATTCAAAAGCGACACTGATTTGCTCGGATCTCGCAAGAAGCAAAAAACTACGACATTAGAAGACGTCGTCATTGTCAGCATAGCGAGCTGCACAACAGACCACAGCTGTGCTCAGTGAAATCTGAACCAGAGTCATTTTCGGGGCTCTCAAATCTCACTGCCATTCAAACTTGCTAAATATTCCAGCCCCCCCCCCCCCCCCCTTCACAAAGTTCACCGTTTTATGCTGGCTAGAGTGCAAACATCAGCCACTGATGCCTATTTTGATCAGTTGACACTCTACCGTTTCTTTCTTCTTATCAACATGCAAAAGAAACAAATCATAAAAGAATCAAGAATATTTGAAACTCGGATGTTGAGCCATAAATAAATATTACTCTTGGAGAGTTAAGAGAGAGAGAGAGAGAGAGAGAGAGAGAGAGAGTTACTCTTAACTCGTATCCATATGTCCTTTTCTTTTCTGAATCAAGAATACTTTAAAGATAGAATAAAAGAGAGGATCAAAAGTCTAATTGGAAACGTTTGCAAGGTACAACAATTACACGCAGGATACTTGTACTTCTCTTTGAAGTAAGTTGGAACGTGCAAGAATTTTTAACACAAGAAAAGCAAACTTAGAAGTTGCGACTTCGGCGGTAATAGTCATGAAGTTGATTGCTCCAACTAGGAAGAAGCGTGTGTTCCTAGTTGGAACAATCAACTTCATGACAAGAAAAGCAGTAGAATTTAGCTTCAGCTGACCTTTAACACGTATTCGGAAAGTTCGGGATACCCTACCCATTGCACACGTATAGTTCCCAGTTAGGTCTGAGGTGATACGTGATGGCCATACCAGTTTACTGCCGGTGCGGTACTCTCCATTCAAAACGGCGCCGCCGTCTACAGTGTCAGTGATGACGGTAAAACCATGGCTGCCATTCGTGATGCGGATTCCATTGAAGAACCAAATTGACTCGCCGTAGGTCAGTGGAATGCCGGCCCTGTTGTAGTAGAACGCGTATGCCTGGACCTGGCAATAGACATTGGCGATGTGCAGTGGTGCTGTGGAGTTCTCTAGCAGTGTGTAGGGATCAGTTGCATGTCTATGCGGCTCACGCGTATGGTTGGCATTCGTCTGGTAATCGGAGGTCAGTGACATTGTAAATTGGGCTAAAAACATGCGGTGCATCGACACAAGAACTGCACGTGTCAGACAATTCATCAGCAGTAAAGGGATAATTTCGGGGAGACAAGCTAACTTACCGACATCAATGTATTCATTTAAGATTGGGAAGAGCAAAAGCACATTTTGCACCCAACTAGCTAGAATATGATAGTTTCGTGAAAAGACCTTTGCCAGCCTATGCCATTTTTCATATTTATGCAAGCACTATGATATTGGCTGAAAATGGTGTTGGAGAATCCCAAGATCAATGTGCATCATTTTTATGAAAGACGTCATCAAATTCAAATCCATTACTTGTAGTACAGTACTCCCTCATTGATTTGTTTCCCGTTTCTCTTTGTGCTGTGTTCATAATTGTATTTTCCTCTTCCTCCTTTTCTTATCATTATCACTCGATCTTCATCATTTTGCGAGAACTGTGGCAATACGCTCAGTGAGAAGGCAGATTTTGCCTGTGCTTCTGGTGAAGTAAAATAAAGCTAAGCAAACAAACATCAATGCGTCGATGAGATCATTTGTGCGAGGGCCTATTTTCCCACTAGTGATGGTGCATGACGATGATCACAGGCAAGGGAAGGAAAAATCAATTGTGGGCACAGATTTTGTGAGCGTGCATGCAATTCCCCGAAACATGGTATATTGAGTAATTAGTGGCTGTTTTTTTTTGTAGTCGTTTTCCGAGACAAAGGTTAGATGGTCGTCTTTTGTTCTGTGAATGAAAGGTGTGGGTCAGCCAAGTGAAGTCCAGTCGCCGGGCAAAGCCGAGGAGCGTGCATGCAGCACTGAGAGCAACCGACCTTTCCGATTCCTCCTACCGCCGTATCTTAACAGACTTTCCCCTGTACATCTCCCCTATTCCTTTATGTTTTATCTGTACGCTGAACCGACAACTTAGCCTAGTTTTGGTAAAACACAAAATATGCAACAAAGGCTTAACACGAGTCATAGAAAGAAAATGGACCAAGGAACTGTAAGTTGCTCTATAAGTATCCAATATTGACTGAGTACGAGGTCAATATATGAAATAGAAGGCGAGTAAAAGACTGAGGCGAAGCCGAGGTCTTTTACGAGGTTTTTATTTCCTATACTGACCAAGTACGAAGTCAATATTAGATTTATCACGACAAACAGTCCGTATTTCAAATTCCAGAACGATGACCTCATGAATCCCGGTTTTATGATTGCACAACCGTTGCACCATCACCTACTCATACAGTGACGCAGACCATGCTGCACTAGGCACCGTTCGACTGCGGAAGTCATAAGCAGTCAAATTATAAGCAGTCAATATAGCCCTAAGAAGTGAAATATGCAGGGATATTTGACTCCATAGGTATGGCAAAAATCTATGGGAGTCAATACTAAGGGAGTGATAATTTCCACTAACACCACCAGCGCGTGGTTGCGATGAGTTGGGAATGCAATAACACCACCAGTTATTTTTCTTCTTCTTTTCTATACATGTATCCATGACTCTCCATACGAGTCCACTCAATCAGGATTATCCTACGTTTGCTTTCAAAAAGGTAGGTTAAGGATCACTCGCTCAAGGGGCTCTCACCTTGTAAACCCTTTTTGCATTAAAAACGAGCTGCTTCTATTGCGGTCAGACGAACAATCGGCGAGTACACTCTGAGCAGGCCACTCAAATAGTCCGAATGACCAAAATTGCATCCATTGGCATTCTTTAATAGTGAAAAATAGTCCAAGATATTGATATTCAGACATTTTTTTAAACATGACATAGTTACCCCTTTCTCCACGCTAACGTCAACAATAATATTTCTATATGTAGAAAAGAAAAAGGACATTATGGAAACGAGTTAAGAGTAGCTCTCCACCACTGTAACTAGATATTATATACAGTCTCACTACTTTGTCAGTTTTGTGCCTAGTTGTTGCACTTTCTGACTGTATATATTATCTGGTTACAGTGGTGGAGAGTTTCATGTACTTAACTCGTTTCCATATGTCCCTTTTCTTTTCTACATTTATTTTTGGCTCGATACCCGAGTTTCGAATAATATTTCTGAAAATATTATTATTCACCGATCGCTTACCTTCACACAGATTGGTTGTCAACGCTAGTAGAAGAAAGGGAACACTTAGCTGGTAATGAATCGCCTGAGAGCATGCCGGGATAAAGTAAGGATATCGGCAACAGAGAAGCAGATGTGGTGATGAGGTAACAAAGAAAACCACAGGCGGGCGGCGGCGGCAGAAGCAGCAACCATATTAACAGAGATCCGCACAAGAGCAAGAACAATAACAGCAACAAGGAAGACGAACGAACACAACCTAACACCACAACAACAAACCGTGCCAAATTATTATTTTTGCTACGACTAGGCCTTGACGGATTATGCTAGCATAATTTTTCGCATAATTCCTACCAAAATCGAATAATCGCATAAATCGAGGCGAATTGCATACGAATCGCATAAAATTGGAATAATCCGCCTGTTCGCATCAAATTCCATACAGTTGTACATGTTCTACAAGACAGTAGATGCACCAGGAAGTCGTAGGTGTACGACTCCCTTGATAACATGTCCAGTCCACTACAATCAGTGACGGTCGTAGCTAGGTCGGACGGTGCGTTGACCCCGTTGAACTTCTGCTACTACAGTACAACGCCCTCTCCAAAAAAATTCTTCGGCTATTTTGCACAGAACCATCATATACATAATACATTATAGCAATAAAAACTGCTTTATGGCAGTTTTCTAAAAAAAGTTATTGTGTTCTAGTCCATGGACCTCGTCTAAAAAGTAAGAAATTAACGAAATGTGATAGCCGAAAATTAAAATTTCACACAAAACCTCACAATAATCACGACACTTGAAGATCTACAGTAATAGTACGGCTTTCAACACTTGTTTATTCCGACACTTGTACTTGTACAAGTACATGTACTGCGCCAACATGCTTGCATATGAAAGAGGACCACGAGGGGAAAAGGTCGTCTCGCATCCTGTGTGTGATTATTGTGAGGTTTTGTGTGAAATTTTAATTTTCGGCTATCACATTTCGTTAATTTCTTACTTTTTAGACGAGGTCCATGGACTAGAACACAATAACTTTTTTTAGAAAACTGCCATAAAGCAGTTTTTATTGCTATAATTTCTTTTGTTTTTTTGGCTAAAGGATATAATTGTGTAACCAATGGAATGCCATAATGATGGCCTACATGTAGCGCCTCTGCATGTTATTATTATTTTATTTATTGTACTAGGGTGTTTCCCACAGACCTATGTTCTTCTTACGGGAGCCCCTATGTGTATCATATCAAATTCAATACCGTATTATACGCATTGATGTGCAAGCCTTTTCTTGCAGAAAATGGAACTAGTCTTACATACATGTACATGTATTCATGTTCTTCTGCAGGGGAATCATATGGGTAGTGGCGGTGATACTTTTTTTACGCAAGTCATTCTGTGGATGTTGCAGAATTTCATGACTGTCATAAAATTGTCTTGTCTTTCAGAAAATTCAGATGTCCACACCCTAAATCACATTTACTTGAGAATTGTAACCAGGTGTGTGCCGCAGATGTTATTGTTGATTCAGTGTTTATAATTGTAGTCATGGGTTGTCGTGATAAGGTCATCCGGCATCATATTGTAGTGAAATCGTAATCCTGTTGATGTCGATAAAACTTTTGGAAGCAGTTCAGTGACTTCAAAGTGTCCACGATTGTCTAAAACAACACAGCAAAGTAGGAACAATAAACATGCATTAAAATGTAAACAAATACATCGCTGAGTCCGACACCTCGTTCCAACAACTACACTGATCCTGAGGATATAAGGGGCAAGGATATATGGTTTTAGGTACTGAGAGATAAACAAGGCACTCCATAATAGTAAAATGTTACACGAGTTCGGGGAAGTATGAATGATATCCAGTCAAACCTCTTTAGGACGAACATCAAGGGACCGATGGCATTTGCTCTGTGAGTTTGTGTTAATACAATTATTTCTCCAATAGAGACATGAATAGATTTCTTCTACAGCGAAGGGTTCTAAGCCAGACCAAACCATTGACTCGTCTTTTATGAAACAAATGAGTCACTGAACCTTTCTTTAGCAACATGACGGCAACTGAAACAACAACAGAGAAAATACGATACATGTACAGCACATTCTTGCAGGTACAACAAACAGATTGCAGATCGTAATTCTTGCTCTACCGGCACGCACTTTTATTTGGGGCAGTGCAATCTCGGCGCTACTCGTACTCACAAATCAAACAGCCGAGGCTCGAGTAAACAAATCCAATGGTACGAGATTTTCACGAGACTGCACCCATTGGCTTGTTTCGTATGAAGCAAACAAGTCACTGAATGCATGAACCCCTCCATAATGGAGATTTTCACTGATATGCGAATTTATTTTGCATACTAGTACTCAATGCGTCCTTGAACCTTCCCCTACAGATTGGGAACTGCCAACGATGCTATGCCACTGCAAAATTCAGATTCTACCCTATGATCGGGGCACGGAATGCCGGAAGCAATCATGACCAGTGCCTTACTTGTAACGTACCAATGGCAATGTACAATGAACATGAGTATTTCGACAACACATCTAAGCCTCAGCAGCAACATACAATGTAAGCCTTACCGTCAAGAAGGTGAACTCGCGTTCTTCGCACACTGTTGGCAAGGGCAAAGAGATACGAATGGATCTAAATCCGAATAAAATCAGCACACGTTTCCGTAAATGAAAGGGTGAGCATAAGCAAATGAATCGAAGGAAACTGGTCAACTCAGAGATCACCTGTCATTGAGTATTCCGTAAAAAGAGGCCTCGACAGCAGAAAAGCTAAATTTAGAAAAGATATCCTGTCAGCTTTTCCATTATTTATTGTATTCCACCTAAAATCAGCACACTTTTCGTAAATGAAAGAGTCAACACAAGCAAATGAATCAAAGGGAACTGGTCAACTCACCTGTCATTGAGTAATATTCCGTGAAAAGAGGTCTCAGCAGAGCCGAAGCGAAATAAGCCAGGACACGAAATATCCGAAACAGCTCATGCAAGAAGCAGTTCCAAAGAGGGAAGTTACTCGCGCATGCACATCCGAAAACGGACTGCACTGACAATGTCTGCCGTGCACGTGCACAGCACGCGGCTACCACCCGTTGGTAGATCTAATTCCGAGCACCTTACGTAGAAACTTACGTAGCCTAAGTGAAGTACCGAGCACCTTACGTAGAAACTTACGTAGCATAGCGGTGTCGTTTTTTCTGCCATGTGAACACAATAATAGAAAAGCTGACAGGATCGCTTTTCTAAATTAGCAGCATATGTGAGCATAATGCGGCATAATATGATAACTTTTAGCATAAAAATAGCATAATTCTGCAATTTTTTCAGCAATGCGAAAAGCATAATTTCACGAAAATAGAGAGGTTCCGGGGTACGATTTTCCGTGCCAAAATCCGTGTGGGCGCTACGGATTTTTTCCAGGCGAGCTCCATACGATTTTTCGGCACGGAGAATCCGTGTGGACTGGCTTTCACACGAACTATGTTTCGTATGGAGATTTTGCGTCATCGGGTGCAGAAAGATGTTTCGCGTACAAATTTGGTACGAGAAACATGGGTTTTCCGCGGGAAGTTTTGATTTCGGTACAAATTTTCAAAATAAAAAGGCATAGCGCGGGAATGTGACGTGTTTGCGATCGTAACCTAGGCAATGACGGCAAACACATAAGTTCCGTACTCCGGAACATTTTACTGCTCGAAAACGACGTATAAAAAATCCGTAGCGCCTCTACGGATTTTGGCACGAAAAATCGTACTCCGGAACCTCCCTACTATTAGCATAATCCGTCAAGGCCTAGCTACGACCATGCAACCCCCTTTTTTTCTTGCCAGGTTGCAACGCTAACGCCGAGACCTCTGGTCGCGTCGGTCGAGTTCCTCCCTGTACATCTGCACGTCGTCCCTACATCCCCTGTGTCTTGTTTTGTGTTTGTCTCCACATATTTCTTTGTAGGGATGTGTTCCCAGTAAAAAAGAAGAAAAGAAAAAAAGTTAGCAGCAGTGGCAGTAGATCAACATCAGTGTGCTGGTTGGTTATTATTATTAACTTTTATTTTACTAGGGTGTTTCCCACAGACCTATGGTCTTCTTACGGGAGCCCCTAGGAAGGTTATGCATGAGCGAATAAATGGTTTTGTTGGGTTATTTGCTTCAGGTTAAATTTATTTATTTATTAATTTTTATTTTTAAACAGTTAAACAGTAATGAAGTTGGTTGCTCCACACGCTTCTTGCCGAACTTGACACTTGGCTGCCTCACGACTGCGTGTGCTCCTCGTTGGAGCAACCAACTTCATGACTATTACCGACTATTACCGCCGAAGTCGCAGCTTCTAAGTTAGTTAAACAGTAGTACATTATACATAGCTTTTGAAACACTCCACCATTCCACACGGCGCTCTTGGCCCATATATACATGTAAGCGTGAACATTCTGGAATACCAATCTTTTCATAGATACATATACATAGACATGTATGATCCTGTCGTAGTTTTGTACTTTATTCGTAGGAGAAAAGGATTTTGGTTTCTCCATTATAAATAAAAGAATACTACTACTACTAGAAGTCCGAAAAGGCATAAGCTATTATAAGCCTGATAACAACGGACCCACAAAGCACATTCCCAGCATTGCACTGGCTGTTGAAATTTACTTGAGAGCGGTGTTATTCACAACACCATGACGTAAGAGTCAAAGCAAAAAGACAACCCAATTTCGGAAAAAAGAACACTCAATTGAAATATAATATTGAACGCAAAAGCTTAACAACAAATCGTTACCTATTAGGAATAGGCCTTGGCGGATAATGCTCGAAAAGGTGGCAGATTCTGCTTTTTTTGCACCGAAATTGGCAGAACCATACAAACCTTATGGCGGGCAATTCCTCGAATTCTGCTCCATTTCTTTATCCACATACCAAACATGCATGAAACTTACCAGAAAAGGTACCGAATTCTGCCAATTTTTCTGCCGGCAGTATCCGCCAAGCCCTAATTAGGAATGCCTACCGACATGCAAAGGCGAACGGTCACGCGGGGACTCACGCCTCTGCCTGTGAAATTCACTATTATAGAGAGTGCCAAAGCATGGTATGCTTCGGTTCATGTACTTGAATTACTTATTTTAAAGACTATTAATGTATTATTATGAAATGACCCAAAGGCAATATGCCTATCGAGGGGTTCATTTGATTGAAAGAACAGTACTACTACTAGTATGTACAAAGACAAGTAGACTTACAAGTAGACTTACAGACATCTTGATGTTCATGCGCTGCCTAGGTAATAGTATCCACCACTGAAACTTCCACAGTCACTGCAGGCGCTGCTTGGCACCAAAGACAAAGCTTGGCACAAGAATCGACACTGTAGCGAGGATACACAAACTCTGATGCTCTAAACGGTGTCACCGAAAGACCGCACCATTCCTTTCTTTGAATCAATGTTGTTGGAATTAGAATGGTTCGTCTGGAAAGATTTGGGGGGCGTCGCGCAGGCCACAGTCACTACTATGTTATGCACAGCTTTGACCGCGCCACTTTTGCACAGAGAACCAACTACAATTGTATACCCCACTCCACTGGTAGGTCTACGTATCTGTACATGCGTGTGTATGTGACCTACATGTACATGAACCAAGAGTACATGACCCCCCAGAGTGTGCAACTCCCACATACCCTGCTGTCCCGACAGAATTTCAAGTTGACGTCATTATAATTATATGACGCAATGCTCCTTGCACCAGTGATTTACAACATGTGTACGGGTGTCAACGCATCACACGTTTTTCTTTGCAATAATTTGTACAGGATCGATCGGCTTCGGTCAACCACAGGTTCCGGATTCGTCTGATAATCCGTGTACAGTGCGCATTGCATCTTCAAAATGACGTCAACTTGAAATTCTGTCGAGACAGCAGACACAGCACCCATAGTGGAGTTGCACACTCTGGGGGTTATGTACTCTTGCATGTACAATGTACTAATAGACCGGGAGACTAGCAGATCTACGTTGGGCACTGTTCGGTTCTACAAGTACATGTACCACGATCTGTACACTCTACACCCTTGTCAGGTGTGCATTGCGCGCGATGCCTAATAAGGTGGAAATTGTCAAAGTGCGTTCATACCGGTTTAGCCTTTCACAGCATCCGGTGAAGAAGCTACATCACTAGACGTTGTACTAAATTGTGGGCAGAAACCTGCGTATACATGTACGCCATCTTGGTACATGTATTCACACACAACCACACACTCCAGTAAAACGCTGGTTTTTGGACAATTTATTATGGAAACCATGCAGCCGGCCATGGGACAAGAAGAATGCCCCGACAAAGATTTGGCCGAACTGTGGTGGCAGGCCAAAGAGCATTGGTCAAGGGGAAACAGAGTCAAGTTCCCGCCACGCCAGGGTCGTGTTACATGCAAGAGTACATGAAACCCATGTAATCTTATCGCTACGAGTAATGCGACTTTGTGAGTTGTGCGTTATTGCATGGCGGAGTGCGTTCCAGACAATGCACTCAAGCATGGAGCTCCTTCTAGCAATGCACTTGGGCATTGCGAGTATGAAGTCGAGTACAATGTGTACTGCATGCAATAATGCAGTACAAATTACATGTATAGAGACTTCACGAGTCCCCGTCCATATATAGACGTCGAGGACATGCTGGTGGCACGTACTATCTCCCCCCCTTGGCCCCGGCCCCGCGCGGGGGGGGGGAGAAAGTACCACCGACAGTACTGGAGTGTAGTGATTGGATCCCCGGGTAACAGGGTGCAGTGTTTGTACCCCCGGGATCTTTACTATGCAGCAGAATGCCCCCGCCCCCCCCCCCCTCCCAACAATACATCACTGATATAATAATAAATAATAAACACAGCTCGCATCTTCCCTGAACCTGTTAGACAGCAGCAGATTCGACGCATCTGTCAACAGTGCCAAGCCAAGTTAGTCTATCTCCTGCAGCTTGGAGAGCGCTCTCCACGGAGAGATCTGCTGCCTTCAGGTCGTGCCGAATCGTATCTATCCACCGCAATGGCGGACGGCCACGGGTTTTTTTTATGTCGTTTGTGTTGATTGATAGCTCCAGTGCTTGGAACGAGGCGGATTCTGGACCCTCTCGCACCACATGGCCAAACCACAGCAGCCTGCGTCGCCGGCATGTGGCACTAACTGGAGATTGTTTTGTTTCTGTGTATAAGTTGTTATTGGTATTTTGTATTGTATTGTATTGTATTTATTTAAAAGGATTCTCCAAAAGCAAATGGATGCTTATCACGGAAGTCTCCCACATAAATATCGCAAGAAAAATGGGGAAATGGGGAGAGGAGAGTGGAAGATGAAGCATGGGAAGAAGGGAAACAAGTACCTAAATATCGAGGTATAAAAGCAGGAAAGAAATCGACGAGGGAAGAAATCACCTCTGCAGATAATAGCGGGACATTTAGATGAAAAAAACCCAGCAAGGATTAATTTCAAGGAAAAAAAATTTCTCAAACGGAAAAGTTCGGAATTCCAGTCAGAGAATATCTATGCTGAGAGTAATGAGCCTTTAGAGCAATGCGAAAATTGACAGAGGGCTGAACGCAGCGGATGTGTTCTGGAAGTTTGTTCCATTCCACAGATAAACTGAAGAGAGGGGATTTAAGGAAATGGGCGCCAGAACGAGGTAAAACTATAGAGGACGGGTGACGACAACTAAGGGATACATTGAATTTGAAACGAATTAGCAAAGACGGAAACTGGTAAAAGACATGATGAAAATACAGCAAGGACAGAATCTGACGACGCCACTTCAGGGATGACCAGTCACAAGTACGATTAAGAATCTGCTTCGGGGTTTCCCACTCAGGAGGGTGCCGGGTCTTACAAAGCAGATATGAACGAGCAGCAACGGCTTGCAGTCGGTCTAACGTAAGCGAATCTGAATGGGATACGGCGAATGACCAGACAGGGACTGCGTATTCTAACAGTGGTCGTACGTAACACTTGTAGAGCAAATTCACGGTTGAAGCAGAAAGGAAATGGGCCATATGGCGCAACAGAAAAACACGACTGCGAAACTTATGGGTGATAGATTTTATATGGTCAGAAAAATTTAGTGAAGGAGTGATAGTCACGCCGAGATGACAGTGGCTATCACCTTTCTGAATAGGCACACCGTTCATTGTCAAGGGGGATGACGGGCCGGGGGCTAATGCATATTTTTGAAAGGGTAGGTGGACGCATTTACTGGTGTTAAACGTCATGGCAGTAGCTGATGACCATTGACAACACTTATCAATGTCAGTCTGGAGCAATGCATGATGGATAGGAAGTGAGGTGTTTGCTGGAGAAACAAGAATTAAATTAGAGTCATCAGCAAAAAGGGATAGGGTACTAGAAGCAGGGGCATCAGGAAAGGAGTTGATGCACAGGTTAAAAAGAAGCGGGCCGAGATGGGAACCTTGGGGTACGCCAGCGGTGATGGGCAAAGGGTCAGAAAGAGTTTGGCCAATGCGAACGCAAATACTACGATCACTGATGAAGTCCTTCACCCAAGAACAGGCAGAAAGAGAACACCAACCTGAAACAGATTGAATAACTAAATGATGACTAACTCTGTCAAAGGCCTTAGAAAAATCAAGGAACAGCTGGTCACAAGAAGACTTAGAGTCAAATGCACGCGAAACAATTGAGGTGAGCTGTACCAATTGGTCAACTGTTGACCTCTTTCGACAAAAGCCAAACTGGCTGGAACTGATAATTTTATGGCTCTCAACAAACGAGTAAAACTGACGGCTAATCATAGACTCATACAATTTGGCAACTGCATTTAACAGCGATATAGGACGGTAATTGACTGGGTGAGAAGGATTACCCTTTCCCTTGAACACAGGTACAACAACGGCAGATTTCCACTCCCTGGGCTGAGTACTGGACAGCAAGCAGCGGTTGAAAAGGGCGGAAAGAGACTGTGACGTGACCTCAGCTGTTTCACGGAGGATGCGATTGTTCAGCAGTCCAGCGGTTTTACGTTGAATGGGAAGTCTGGATAGCGTGTCAAATACGGACTGCACAGAGAATGGTTGTATGGAGAACTTCACAGTGGACGTGGGTGTTAAAATACCAGCTGAGTGCAGGTCAGGTGTTAGCAGTGGCGCCTGGCTGTAGCTCGCAAACACTTTGGCTAGGAGATTCGTCTTTTCCGTATTACTCGTGGCTGGGTAGGCTTGGTTGTCATGGTAGAGGTCAGGGATAACCGGAGACGGGCGATTCACATTACAAAGGATCTTTGCTTTGCGCCACCATGTACGAGTTCCATGATGCTGAGCCATGTCTCTTGCCATCCTCTCGTGGTAATGGCGTTTCGCCTTCCGGAGCAAGGAAGTAAGACAGTTACGTGAGAGTCTATACGCTATCCAACTATCTGTAGATCCGAGACGTTGGGCCTTGGCGAAGAGGCGATCCCGAAGCCGCCTCTGACGATGGTGAACAGCAGAGTACCAAGGCTTGTTCGATGGAAATGTGCTTCTCCGGACAACGGGAACAAACAACGATACAGAGTCTTCCAGCGCTGTGCGCCACAATGACCAGGCCTCATCAACTGTTTGCGCATTTTGGACGGCATCTAGCAAGGGTAGTTGCCACACGTGGTTGTTAAATGCTTGCCAGTCCGTGTGGGCAAAGTCGAGCCAGGTGTTTTGTGCAGAAGATATTTGGGCTGTGGAGCCTGCTGATCGGTTGTGGACGACATCGAAAACTACAGGACAGTGATCAGATACCGGTGGGAGGATGGTGAGATGGGAGACTGCTATTGGAGCATTAGTGATAACTAGGTCGAGTAGTGATGAACTCTTACCACTTGCGGAGTAGCGGGTAGGCTGTTGATCCACAAGTTGCGATAAGCCCAGATCATCCAGGGTGTCATACATGCATGTACCAGCAGGTGTATCAGGATCGGATGCTAGCCATTTCGAGAGGCGAGCGTTAAAGTCGCCAATGACAAATATGGAAGCTTGAGGACAAGATATTGATTGAATGCAGGTCCGGAGTGCGCTGCAGAACTGATCAGGTGGCTGCCAAGGAGGACGGTAACAACAGAACACAAACGTGGAGTTGGGGCGATGCTCTAGTTCTATGCACACAATTTCAATGGTTGGATCAGCAGGCTGAAGATCTGGACGATGTTTGGTAGCATGGGAAATGGAAGGGTGGAGGAGGAATGCCACTCCACCTCCACGTCGCACGGTATTGTTGTGACGGTCATGCCGGATAATTTTGTATTCAGCTGACGGTGTTAATATTGAACTTGTGATATCAGGAGTCAACCAGGTTTCAGTTATGCCCAAGATATCTAGTTGAGATGTGCAGAATAAGTTTTTAATCCCATCAGCCCGCTTCAGCCAGCTGCATGCGTTAACTGTGC